CTTCGTACCCAGGCCTGAGCATGGCCCAGGCACATGGACGCATGCGCACTCACAAGGCCACAGTTGTGACACAGAGGGCCGGGACTTCCCAGCGGCTCCTGCCAATGAGACCCCTGGGGCTCAGCTCACAGACTGTTCAATCGAGGGCACGGAGCAGACAGCACAGGTCAACCAGCAGCAGCCAGAGATGGGGTGGGGCGGAGGTGGCCACCAGGCCCCAACCCCAGGTGCCTCGCTCATCCTCCAGGCTGGAGCCATCCCCCTGGGCCAAGGGCCACATCTACCACAAAATCAGGACCTAGCTCAGTGGTATGACCTGCTTAGCATGTGCAAGGCCCTGAGTTCAATTCCCAGCATCACTAGCAATTAAAAATTAAAATTCTATTCTATATTCTTACCACAGGATGCTACTGAGCAGTAAAAATGAACAAATAAATTACAAGTCCAACCCTTACCAAAATGCTCATCACCAGAACTGTTTCAGATTTTAGATGCTTTTGGATTTTGGAATATTTGTATATACATAGTGAGATATTTTGGAGGCCCAAGTCTACACCTTCCTTCTTCCCTTCCTTCCTTCCTTCCTTCCTTCCTTCCTTCCTTCCTTCCTTCCTTCCTTTCTCCACTGGTGACTGAACTCAGGATTTAGCCCTGAGCAACATCTCCAGCCCCCCTCACCTATTTTTAAACAAGGTCTTGCTAAGTCACTAAGTTGCCTAGACTGAGGTCATACTGGTAGTCCTCCTGTCTCAGCCTCCCGTGTGGCTAGGATTATAAGAGTGCATTGCTTTGTCCGGCTTATGGTTCTATTTTGCCTGCAACCCATCACTTGAGGTTGGGTGTGGAATTTTCAACTGCTGGCATTTCCAATTTTGGAGTTTTGGATTAGGGAGGCTCAACCTATATAGATACATTCACTGCTTGGTCGATCCCCAGGGAATTATACCAATTAAAAACCATCAATCCTAAAATGGTCACATCTTCTATGATTCCATTTAGGTCACATCATTTAAAAATAACAAAACGATGAAAATACAAAAGAGACAAGAGATTAAAGGTTGCTCAGGTCGGGGGTATGGCTACCCACAGGCCATAGGCAATGGGGTGGCCAAGGCTCCGTCTTGCTGTGGCAAGGTCAGCTGCATTGCTGAGAGATTGAGGGACAATTTTGCAAGATGCTAACCTGAGAGGAACAGGACAAAGGGTTCAGGGGATTTCCCTGTGTTCTCACAATACAACTGCCTGTAAATTAGCAATGATCTTGAAATAAAAAGTTTAACTTAAAAAATAAATTGCCAGCATATAAGAATCAAGAAGAGCAACTTTGGGTTTTCAAAGAGCAGCAACTGTAGCCTCAGTGGTCCAATATTTCTGCATCTATCAGGCACCTGGTGCCAGCTCCTGGCCCGACGTTCGCAGCGGTCTGCTTTCCCATACCTAATCACTTGCCTGTTCAGCCTCAAGTCCAGCATATTTGGGTCTCTGTGTATGACTGTTTGACAGAAAGACTCACCAACAGTGTAGATGAAAACCATTGCTTTAGCCCAGCCTTCCCTCAGCTAGGCAGAAAGAGGCCCAGAGATGCCCAAGCGGATTGTTACAGCCACAGAGAAACTCAGCAGTGAAGCCACAATCTCAGCGCCTGGCACTTCTTTCCTTGCCACATACCTGCATCTCTGAGCTCAGGGTGAAGGGGCGACGATGGCGTGAGCAGAGGCCTGGTGGCAGGGACACTACAATCATGACCGTCCCACAGAGACGACCCAGAACGCGGGGGTGCAAAATGAGACGCAGCTAGTTGTCTGTAAATTGTTCGTTTTTGCAAGACCTATGGAGGCTGGGTGACAGGCCAGGGATAGCCCTGTGGCTGCTCTGTGTGGTGCTGTTTAGAAAGCCTCAGCTGGCCAAAGAAAGGAGCAGGGAAAGGAAGACGCGTGTGGAAGAGTGACAGGGGGGAAACCAAGAGAAGAAAAGGGAGGTTCCCCGGCTGCTTGGCTGCAGCTCCAGGCAAGTCCTGGTCTCTCCCAACTTCCAGGGCCCACCAGAGGCCCACCAGCTGCAGGTAACCTTGACTACTGCCTCCTCAGAGGGTCTCTTTTGGGGGAGAGAGTCAGCCAGGAGAATTTGGAGCAAAGCTAGTGGCTGGAGGAGGGACAGAGCTGAGTGACTGGCTGTCCCGGGGGAGAGGAGGGAGGCACTGGAGATCTAGGGAGGCAGGAGGAGGAGCCGGAGTTCTCCGGTCTGCAGGAAGTGGGGGTAGGGGCGGGAGGACAGAGAAGGGGTGGGAGAGGATTTTTATGCCCCTGGAGGAGGGGTGTGTGGTGGGACCATCATCTCCCACTCCCCCTGTCACTAAGCCTTGCTCCAGTGATGGGAGACAGGCAGAATGCTTGGGTGCGGAGCACACCCAGATACCAGTTTTCCATGAGTGTCCAGGTTACAACTGGGGTCCCCAGGCAGGGAACACTTCTGTGGAGGGGTCCAGCCTCACCCAAGATGGAGCCAGGCCTGCCCCACCTCTGTGCACCAGGACTGCCCACCAAGGCTCCAAATGCATTCCCGAAGTCAGAGAAAGCCGTGCGCACGCTGGGAACGGAGGGCTCGGCACTTTCGGTGCTCAGCTACCACCCATGGGAGCTGGGAGCCACCCTGTCACCTACATCCACTGGAGGGGCTCCCATGGGAACCAGTGGCCTGGGCAGTTTACACAGGTGCAGAGGGCACTGTGTGAGGCTGATACCTGGCTGCTCAGGGCCCTCTGAAGCTCCCCAGAGTAGAGACTTGGCCTTGGGCTGCCCCAAGGCACCTAGAGGCTCAGAAAGGAGCTGCTTGCTGCCAGCACCAGGGGCGCTCCTGGGACAGGAGTGATCTTCAGGGCTTCGTGGAGAGGAGGCCACAAAGCTGTGCAGGGGCAGGGATAGCAGAGAGAGGGTTGCAAGTTTCCTAACCTGCACAGGATACCTGCCATGACTCACTCACCACACAGCAGGGAGATGGTACCTTTGCACAGGTGTCCAATGGCCCATGCATCATCAAACAGACACTCGATGCCTGGGCAACCCCAGAGGTGCTCAGAGTTGTGCTAGCTTGGAAGCAGAAAGACAAGGCAGTGGCGGCTCCCCTCAGATGGGTCTGGGGTGTGACTTCTAACGAAAAGTAGGGACTGACTCAGATTAGAACCCCTGTGAACAGGGGGCAAGCAGGCTCCCTTCTGCTCAAGGACCATGTGGGCCAGTGAGGCCCAGCCATGACAGGACCATAGACATCACCTGGGCTCCCACACACAGGACGGAGCTCATGACCCCCACATCCTGCCCTGCCCAGGTCCCCAGGCTGCCCAGGACTGCACAACACAGGGGGCTCCGCTTTGAAGACATCTTCCAGGAGCTAAACTAGGAAGAAGGTGAGGAGCAGCAGCTTCCTGGGTGCCCAGTGCCTCTGCTTCTGGCCTGAGATCGAGGAGGCACTGATAGGGCAGAAGCTGCCCTTCAGGGCTCCTGATGATGAAACCCTAGGGTAGCTGAGGGAAAAGGGGCCCCAAAGCTGCAGCGCAGTTCCCTAAACCCTGGAGTCTGGGCCCTAGAGGAAAGCCTGACTCAGCCTCACCCTTGGATAAGACCAGGCAGGCAGATACTTCTGGAGAAGGGAAGAGGAGGCCCAAGGCCCAACCTCCATCCTGCTTTTGTGTTCTCAATAACCTAGCAGCGCCTGCGAATATCCTGGGAAACAGAAACAAATTTTGCTGTCCCCTCCTCCACCAGGGAGCTGTTCCCTGCTAACGACGACTGGCTAGTGAGGCCCACGTGTGCCTGACCACTGTGAATACTGGACAGAAGAGGAACACCAGTGACCAGAAGGAGGTGGCGGGGCTCTGAGTTTTGTGGGAGGAAAGGCAAAGCCACACGGAAAACAGCACAAGCAACACTTTGGAGCCAAATCAGACATCTCGCGTGGCACGCTGTGTAGACGCACCGCAGGCCCTGAGGGCCCTGAGCCACTTCTAGGGCCACATGCCATCCTTTGCAGGCCTGGGAGGACCACACTTTGGCTCAGATGCCCAGCCAGAAAGCGGAGGAGCAACTTGGGTCGGCGGCAAAAAGACAGGTTCAGCAATGAACTACTCCAAGTTCTGTCAGCCCCAGAGTCCTCCTCTCTGGGAGCTCTGTGGCCCCCACATGCTGCTGGTTAGCAGGGACAGGAAGCTCAGCCCAGGGCAGGAGCGTGGCTCTGAGCCCCAGCCTCACGCAGTATGCCGATGTGGTGGCCCGAGGCTGACTGTACCCAGAACAGCATGCGGATGACATATTGCTAGCAGAAGTGACATCATCACACTGGGCCCCATGCCTCACCATGGAACACCCTTGCAGGTTCCAGTGGTTTCCAGGGCAGCATGCCCCCCTCATGCTCAGGGCTACAGCCCTAGTCAGGCCGTGATGGCTGAGGCTTTGACCTGCCCCCCAACCCCTCGATGACAATGGGAGAACACCCCTGAGTCCCTGGCCTTCATGCTCCTCTACCTTCGGGGCTCATTCTTCCTGAAGTTACTGTTATGCTCTGAATGATTTATAGAACTGGTATATTAATGGGTCCAGGGTCAGGGCCCGTGCCCAGCTGGCCCCCTGCATGGCTGTCCCCAGTGCCCAGCTTTCAGATCACAGGGGACAGGCCTGGAAATGAGAGGACAGGAAAGGTATGCCCTCACAGGGAGAGATGCCCTCCTGCTCAGCAGCCCAGCAAAGGCCAAAGCAGCCCTGCCCTGCCCAGGACAGAGCCAGGAGAGCCCAGAGTCCTTGCTCCTACAGCCCTGCCAGGGAACCAAGCCTCCCCATGGCTCCTACCTTGCTGGCCAGGACAGCCGCCTGGGCCAGCATTGGCTGGAGCCCCGTGAGGGCACATGCCTGAACCTGAGAAACCCCTTTGTGAGTCTGTGACGGGGGTTGTCAGGGAGGGGAAGGGAGAGGACAAGGCCACGGTCACGGAGCCTGAGTTCAGGCACCTACCTTGATCTTCGCAGAGCCTCTTCGTCAGGGTCTTGCACTGTGGGTAAAAAGGAGCCAGTCAGAAGGAGACGGGGGCATAAGGAGAAAAAGCCACTGGACATAGGGGACAGCGGGCCCCAGGACTGGACAGGCCCTGAGCACTTCCCATCCCCAGCCTGAGAGCCGTGGAAGGGAAGTCTGCATGCCAAGCAGAAGCTGCAGGTTGGGAGGGCATTCAGAGGGAGCCATCAGAGCCTGCAAGGCACTGTTGTCCCAGCCCTGGACAGGCACATTGCCTGGAGGCTGCCGGACAAGCTGCTGCCCCTGATGGGACCAGGACCTGGATCAGAAGTCGCTGTCACGGGGCAACCCAGAAGGAGGCTGGCCAGCGGCTAATGATCCCAAGCTGGGGCCACCTTCAGGGTAGGCGGTTGGACCCCATGAACCTGGCCTGTGGCCCCGATGGCCCACTCACTGTATTCTGTCCCTGTCATCTGGGCCAGGATCCGGAAGGAGCGAGACTGCAGGTTGGAGGAGCGGCGGGCCCACTCATCAGCCTCGTCCTCAGGCTTGCTCTGGTTCTTGATCACGGCCTGGTACACCGGTGAGGCGCTGTCCACAGCCAGGTCTTTCACGGGGAGGCTCCTGGGAGCAGAGAGAGGCATGGGCGGGGCTCCTACAGTCCCCCCTCCCCCTGTTGTTCTGAACCCACCACTGGCTGAGATCTGGGATGCATGCAGTGTGGCCATGGCCGGGGTCCTCGGCGCTCAGCATGCTCCTAGGGAGGAGGTGAACCCTCCATTCATGGGATAGGAGGCTCGGGTCCCCCCTGTCGATCCCTCCTCTGCTAACTCTGGGCCTGACAATGCCCCAGTCCAAGGCTGGATCCCCTTTGAGGAAGGAGGAAGCAGAGAGGCCTTTGTGAAATCAGCTCACCTCTCTGTGCAGGCCCTGGTTTAGGGGCAGCCAGACCCATATGGTGCTGGCACGGCCCACAGGACAATAGGGTTCAGAGCTGTGGGCCAGGAAGCTGGGAGGCGCTGTGTGCAGGGCATGCACACATGCTTTCATGCCTGAGAGCAAAGAGGCTTTTGGGGAGCAAAGAGGCTTTTGGGGAGTCCTGGCTTCCCTTAGAGTCCAAGGGTCTGGTACATCATTGGTGCCCCTAATTCTTCGCTGAATGAATGAATCCTGCCTGTGTCAGAGCCAAAAGGGACTGCAGGGCCTCCTGGCCTGGACCCACTACAGGACAAGCATGGATGCAAAGTTTCATAGCTGCCCATCACCTTGGCCAAGGTGCTGGGGAATCCAGACCCAGCCACCCCTGCAGAGGTCAGGGTTGCCCAGGGAAAGGCCACCGCAGGAACAGCTTGCCGGCCCTGCCCTCTGCTCTTCCACTGGCCAGCTCCAGGTCACAAGTAGGAGGTCCCCCACCGAGGCAACACATAGGTTTCCTGGCTCCCCAAGCTGGGTCTTTTCAGGCCCCCACAGTCACAGAAGCACAGGAAGCCCACTTCTGCCCAGACGCCCTACCCAGCGCCCTCTGCCTCCACCTCCCAGGAGGCCACCTGGCTGGGGGAGGATCTCCCTTCGTCTAAGTCTTTTGCTCTCTCTGCAAGGACCTGGACAGAGAATTGGTTTCGTGTCCCAGCACATTCCCTCAAGCCTGTCACATGGCCTTTGCCATCGAGAGAGTAGATGCGAGGCGTTTGCTGCCTGGAGGAGCCTGGAGGAGCTGCTCTGTGCCTTCCCAGCTCTAAGCTCAAGAAAGCTACCTAGAGGGAGCCCCCCGGTGCCCCCAGCCTTGCTGGCTTCCTTTCCACCCTGCTGCAGACCAGAATTTGTTTTTCATCTCTAACAGAGATTGGGCATCAAATGAAGGATCTGCTGTCCCCTGCTGTCCCCTCAGACTCCAAGGCTCAGGGAAACATGCAGAGAGAATGAAGTGGGCCCTACAGTTGTGCACCCTGGTCACTCCTGGCTTGTACATCTTACCCACAGTAGACTCTTTGGTTACCACAATCCAAGGTGCCCTGTGGCATTCACCCCCCTGTGTACCCCTCCCAAAGAGGAGGCATCTTTCACCTCTGCGGCGGCCATCCTGGCAGGTACTGTCTCCTACAGATCTCAGGACAGTGTTGCAGAGTAGCCTGAATAATGTACATCAGGGTCTATACAGCCCCAGTGCATTTAGGAAAGGTGATCTTCCTGCCTCAGCCTCCTAAGTGCTGGCATGCATCACCACACCTGGCTTACTCTGATTTCTGTAGCCACATTGCAGGGTTTGGCGCTGATCCCCAAAGCCAAGTACTCTCCTGGAGTATCATTTGGCTGCCAGGTGGATGTGAGGAAGAACATGGCCAGAGCATCTGGATAGATCCCACCCAAGGCACACGCACCCCACAACCAGACAGATGGATGATGACCATGACGACGGCACAAACACTGCGGGATCTACTTACGCCAGCGGCGACGCCCTGCCAAGCAGAGGGGACCCCAGCCAGGAGTGTGCGTCCATCATGGGTGGCGCACACAGAGAGCGGGGTAGGGATGGAAACAAGTTAGGGGAGTAGGGTGGGCAGGGAAGGGAAAGAGAGAGAAAAAGAACACGGTCAGTAAGGAAAGAACTGGGGACATTAACAGGAGAAATGGGAGTGCGTTAGGGCCGGGAAGGGTTTCTGCCGGCCTCACAGCAGCGAGGAGGGAGGATGGTCCCTCCCAGGCAGAGGAAAGGGACAGGTGGGGAGAGAAGGCCATGGGAGGGAGGTGGAGAGACCTTTCAGGAAACTTAGGCAACAGAGCATCGTTCCAAAATCACGGGTACCCTAGCAGCAAAACCAAATGATGGCAGTCTCCTAAGGCGCAAAAATGCACAGTTAGCGAGGAGCAGTTCTTCCGTGGCTTCCCATCATCTGGTCTCAGCAGCTGCTACCACTTGCAAGAGCGTGTGGAAGACCATGAGGCAAACGGTTAATGCGAAATGGCTGGCAGCTCTTGAGCTTAGGGTACAGCCTTGCTTTGCAGGGTACTGATGAGCTAATGGTGACTTTAAATTTGCATGGTCGTATTTGCTGCTTTGAGTGATGGATTTAAACACTGTCCAGAGTTGCAAAGAGCTGCAGCCCCGGCCTGGCAGGTTTGAGACCTGTGGAACCTGTCCCTCGGGAACTAACTGCAAGCTGGGCATGGCACAGCCACCGAGCCCTGCAGGAGCACTCCAGGACCTTTCACCCTCCGTCCCTCTCCTCTCATACTGTGCCCTCCCAACCTTGGGAGAGTTTAACTGCCATCTCAAGACTTCTCTCCCGGACTGCTAGGGATTGAGGTGCTGCCTAAGGAGACAATCAGCCAGGACTGTAAGCCACACTATAGCATCAGAAGACGGCAAGAAGAGCAGAGAGACACAGACTGAGGAGAAAGAACGGACAGGCAGAGACGGAGAGGGATACACAGAGACAGGGACAGACGCAAAGAAGGTGGGGAGAAAGAGACAAGAAAGACATGGAGAGGGAGAGATGCAGAGAGGAGAGAGAGGAGGACAGAAAGAGACACACGGAGACAGACAGAGAAAGAGAGGGAGTCAGAGAGAGCAAGAGAGACAGAGACAAAAACAGAGAGATGGAAACAGAGACAGACAGACAGGACAGACAGAGGAAGGATAGCTCTCACTTTCCTGGTAGTACTATGAGCTGTCTCACCCTGAGTTTGAGCCCCACTGTCCCTAGCCCACTCCATGGTCCCCAACCAGAGCTGACAAGCAAACTCCCAGAACCAAGGACATCTTGCAGGACCACTGCCCTGAGACCGGGCTTCCTGTGAGCCCTGTGCCAATACTACCTGGGGCTATTGGCCCCAGGCCTCTTCCTGTCAAGACACCAGCCCTGTACTGGAACAGACTGAGGCCTAGAAGGATGCAGCCACCACATGTCCCCCGCAACCCCTAGCAGATGGATATGATAAGACACCTGGGCTCTCAAGAGCTGCTTTGAGTCTTTTGTTTGTTTTCTTGAGACAGGGTCTCGCTATGTAGTTCAGGCTGGTCTTGAGCTCACTATGTAGCCCAGGCTGGCCTAGAACTCTTGTCAATCCTCCTGCCTCAGCCTCCCAAGTGCTGGGATTACAGGTATGCGCCTCCACGCCCGGCTCCTAGAGCTCCTTTGAGAGGTTCAAAGGAGTCTCCTGCTGCTCCGGCCTCTGCAGGGAGCTGGAGATGAGTTCTGAGGGACCGCGACACTGCGTTTCTGCAGGCCACACTGTTTCCACGGTGGCCTCCACAGGCGCTTACCCGCTGAAGTCACTGCCCTGTGCCTGGGCCTGGCCAGCAATGGCGTCCATGATGGCGTCCTGCGAGTACATGCTGATGGGTGTGTTGTACTGCGCGTGGATGATGGTGGCCTTGCCGCCCAGCCCCTTCACCTCGATGGGCTTGTGGGTGGACAGGGCCGAGTCCTTCAGTGCGCTAGGGTTGAAGCGCTCCTGGTAGTCAGCACTGGGTGGTGAGGAGGGTGAGCAGGGCGGGTGAGAAGAAGGCAATAGACGTGGTTATGGGAGGTTGAGGCTGGGTGAGGTGGCTGGGGTGTGGAGATCTCCCAAAGCTGAGTCCCACCCCCAGAGAGGCTCCCTGAGCTCTCTGCTCTGGGTTGGCCAGGTCTGGTCAGGAAAGTTCTCCATACCTCGGTGCCCAGTATAGCACGTATGTTGTGTTTGTTATTTTTCAGTACTAGGGATTGAACCCAGAGCCTTTGCACTGAGCTACATCCCTAGCCCTTTTTCTTTTCTTTTTCTTTTTTTTTTTGAGACAGCGTCTCACTATGCAGTTCAGGCTGGCCTTGAGCTCACTTTGTAGCCCAGGCTTGTCTCGAACTTACAACAACCCCTTTGCCTCAGCCTCCCGAGTACTGGGATTACAGGCATGCGTTACCATGCCCTGCAAAAAAATCTGTGCTATTTAGTTTTCTTTTTTGTTTTGTTTTGTTTTGGAACCGGGATTTGAACTCAGGACCTTGTGCTTGCCAGACAGGCACTGTGCCACTGAGCTATACCCCGGTCACTTTTTTTTCTAAATATTTATTTTGAGACAGAATCTGTCTGACTAAGCCTATAAGTTGCCCAAGCTGAGCTCAAACTTGTGAGCCTCAGCCTCCCAGAGTGCTGGGATCACAAGCGAGCAGCATTCTTGCCTGTCCAGGCTCCCAGATCCCAGGGAGCTCTGGCTCAGTAGGAGCGGCCTCCTGGGGTCTGCAGGGGTGCCTCAAATGCATGGAGAGATCTCTCACTACACCCAGAGAGAGATGCAGAGACACAGGGCAGGGACCAGGATGCAGGGACAAGAGCCAGGCCACGTGTCAGGCAGCGCTGCAAGCCGAGTCCAGAATATCCCCTCTAAATGGGCCAGCAGCAGTAGCTCTGGGCATCCACAGGGTGCTGAGCAGGGCTCCTCCAAGAAGGCTCTTCCTGGCAGCCACCTCTCTGGGGCAGGGCTTCTCCTCCTGGCTTTTGTCCTTGGCTTTGTTCTCCAGGCCAGTTGATGTGGTTCCAGCTTTCACCCATCTGGCTCTTCCGCCAGCAGACAGGTGAGCAGTCCCTTTGGGGGGTCCCACGGGGACACAGAGGTCTTCAGGCTCATACTGGTCCCATGACAGACAGTGCAGCCCTGTTCCTCCCCTCAGCCAGCCTTCGGCCCAAGCAGCTGGAGCAGGAAACTGAGGCCACCAGACAGACAGACACCTCCCCGCCACACCTGACACCAGCTCACGCCCGTGCAGCCTCACCCAGGGCACCTATGCAGCCCCCTTGCGAGCACACACACACAGACATGGGCACACACGGACACATGCCGCGGGCACACACTGCTCACGCCACGCACGCACGCACACACGCACGCATGCACGCATGCATGCAGGGCTGCCTGGTGCACACCATGCTCAGTACTAACTTGGCTGGAGAGTTGGCTACCACCTAGGCGGAGAGAGGGGCAGAGAAGACAGTGGTCAGAGCAGGGCTTGGGGGTCAGAGCACTGGGACCATGAGAATGGCCATGGCAGAGGTGGCACCAGCCCAAACTTCACTGGGTGAGGAGAGGGAGCGTGGAGCTCAGCAGAGGCAAGAATCCCGGCCTTGGGGACCCCTAGTGGGGTCCTCTCTGGAGCTGGCCCTGCCCCCCACACACTTTGCCAGGGACACAGAGGGTTTGCGCGTCCACCAACTGGGCACCTGCTCCCCGCCGGCAGCCTGGGTTAGACCCTCGAGAGGAAGCTGGAGGTGGAGACGGGACCATGGTGGCTGCTTGGGAAGGGCGAGAGCCTGGTGCTTCCTGGCCACCCCCAGCCCTGGACTTAGGCCTGCTCATGGGGCACAACCCTGGCCACTCCTCCAGGGCGCAGGAGTCAGGGGGTCTGGTGCAGTCCCCAGCGAGCACTGCTTGGGGCCCTGTGGACAGCCACACCTCATGAGTAGGCTCGGGAAGGGTGGGGTCCAGGGCTTGTGGATAGAAAGGCCGCAGCAGGGACAGCCAGTTTAGACACTGAGTGAGACCTGCCCCTGACGCAGACCTGGGCCAAACCTCCTGGAGCATGCAGGGACTTATGGCCTGTGTCACAGCTCTTTAAATGTTAATTCCCTTCCAGGTGTGGTGGTGCACACCTATAATCCCAGCACTCAGGAGGCTGAGGCAGGAGAATCACTGTGAGTTCGAAGCCAGCCTGGGCTACAGTGAGACCCTGCCCCTCCACAAGCCCCCTGTAAAGCAGACCCTGGCCACACCAGAATCTGAGATGGAGTGCACAGTGGCCGCAGGCTGTCTCCCCAGACTTCACCACCCACCTTCCCAGATCTGCCCGCCATGGGCTCTGACTGGGGAGATCGGGGGCTCCAACTGGTCTGGCCTGGTTCACCCCACAGCCAGCAGGACCCTGGGAAGCCAGTGACACCTGATCCCAGGCCCCCCGCAGTCTCAGGGCTGATAAAATTCCCTCTGTCCACCCAGCTCAAAATAGTTGCAGTGGAGTTATATTAGGAAAGGGCAGGCGCACTCATTCCTTCTCCATGTTTGGCCACTGCTGACAGCTGCAGGGTCAGCGCCACCTCGAGCAGCCATGTGCCCTGCAGGGGGCAGTGTTGGCCTTTGGCATGAATTCCTGGCCCCTGCTGAGGACCCCAGGCTGGGCTACTGCAGGCAGCAGAAGCAGCTCAGGGAGGAGCCAAAGGTGCATGGAAGCTGCCCTTCAGTGCTTGGGGGTGCACCCTGACCCCACAAAGGCTCCTCTCTGCATTTCCAAGAGACACAGCCGCCAAGGAAGCCAGAGGAGCTGGGGAAGGGGCTGCCTTCAGGAGCTGCCAGAGAGCGCTCAACCCTGAGCCCGCCGCTCCCTGAGGGGCTGCTGCAGGTGTCCAGGGTTATGGTGGTGCCCACCTCGAGGACGGGCTCTGCAGAGAGTGACCCCGTGTCAGAGCCCTCACAGGAGAAGGGTCCCAGGAACGGACGCAGAGACCAGCGTTTGCGGTGAAGGCCGGGCTGAACTCGCCCAGGCCTGGCCGCTCCCCCGCGTTGTTGGACGCAGCAGCTTTTCCTGTGGCCCAAGCACCAACTCCCTCTGTCCCCTGACCCATCTTCCCTTGCAGGACAGCACTGGGCTGTCTCTCTGTTTGTCAAGAAATACTTGACTCTTAAGCTGTGAGTGGTGGTGCACACCTGTAATACCAGAACTTGGGAGGCTGAGGCAAGAGGACTGCTGAGAGTTAGAGGCCAGCCTGAGCTACATAGTGAGACCCTATCTCAAAAAGCCAAAAGAAAGAAAGAAAGAAAGAAAGAAAGAAAGAAAGAAAGAAAGAAAGAAAGAAGAAAAAGGAAAAAAGAAAAAAGAAAAGAAAGAAAAGAAAAGAAAAGAAAAAAAGAGAAAGAAAAAGAGGAAGGGCAAGCTGGCAGTCTTGTCTACCACTTGTAGCTGTGTGTTCTTGGACAAATTTCTCATTGTCTCTGAGCTTCTATTTCCCAGCTCTAAGTAGCCACCTCTGGAGTCACTGAGGTAAAGCAGCTCCTAGACAGAGCTCAGCAGGAAGACATTGTCATCCCTGTAGGTGGCCTCCGAGTGGTCCCAGTCCAGCCTTCCTGCCTGGGGCCCATCTCAGCGCCGACCAGGGAGACCCCCCATGCACCTCAGACAGGATGAGGTGGCCAGTTCTATTCTGCAGCTAGAGGTTTCTGCAAAAGCATCATAGGGGAGCCAGGGGTGCACATGCCCTGCCACTCTGGTCACGGGAGGCGAAGGGGTACTGGGAGCTGGAGCACAGTGGACAGAGGAGGAGCTGGGGTGGAGGAGCAGGTTCCTGCTGACTTTCTGTCATGTGTGAGTGCGGGCCTAGGTCAGGAGAGCATGACCGGAGGACACAGTGCTGTCCCCTCTCCCTCTCCGGGAGCCCTAGGAGGTAGATGGTGCAAGTCCCCCTTGGGACCCATGAGCCATTTCGCCCTAGCTCAGCCTGCCCTCCCTCTAGTGCCCAGAGTCATGCGGACAGTGCAGGCTGGAGTCTGTGTCACTGCCGGGTGGCACCTGAAGTCTCCTGGGGCCCCTCCTCCAGGTAGTCCTCTGTGCTGCTTCCTGGAGAACTCACCCATCCACCTCTTGCCCCTCCTGTTCTCCTCAGGGCTCTCAGAAGTGTGGGGACTGGGTTGTCCCTGTACGCCTTATGGAGAAGGCGTGGGCTGGTGGCCACTGAGTTGCCGGGCCACAGGACCTTAACTTGACCTCCTCTGAGCCTCAGTTTCCTCTTCTGTACAGAGCCGACGAGGCCCCCCAGGATGGACGTGGGAAACAGGGGTGCTTGGCACCCTGAGCCTCTCTGACACCTGTGCAGGCCCCGCTGAGCACCAAGGCAGGGGCGCCTCAATGAGGGGCGTGTGCCGGTACCTACCCTCCTGGGAGTCCGGCACCCAGGGGCTGCCCTCGGAGGCTCAGCCGGTAGCTCTGAGCCATCTCCCGCAGGCTCTCTGCCGAGTACAGGCCAATGGGGGTGTTATACTGCCTCGGCCGGCCAGGGGCCCTCGGGAGTCCCGGGCCCCGCGGGTCCTGTGTCCCCTCCGGGCTGGCCCACAGAGGGCAGGGGTCTGAGGCCTCTGTGTGTGCGGAGCAGATGGAGGTCTGGGAGAAGGAGGAGCTAAGGGTGCCCCTGAGCTCCAGGGTGCCTGGGGTGCCTGGGCCGGCCCTCGCCTCGGGGCTGGGGCTGGGTGCCACCAGGCTGCCGTTGGTGTCCAGAGCGGCGTCCTGGCCCATGGCGGCGCCATGCAGGGAGAGAGAAGACAGTGGTTAGAGCTACCCACGTCCAGCGCTTCTGCCCAGACTCGGAACCCGTGTTAGTGCAGCCAGCAGCCCGCCACCCACCACCTGCAGCCCCCAGGACCCTGCTTGGGCAGGGAAGGAAGGGCTTGGAGCGGAGGGAGGAGTTGGGTCCCAACAGAGGCTGGCATCCACTGGGACAGAAGGCAAAGCTCTGAGCGCAAAGGCAAGCCAAGGCTGTCTCCCATCCTGGGGCCAGAGGGTGGGTGCAGGGCTCAAGGCACAGTGGGGGCCCCCCCCTGTGTGCACAGAGACCCCGTGCTAAGAAGGCCCTGCGGCTGGGGAGACGGCCCCTGCTGGCTGTGGCAGTGGAGTGGAGGGAAGCCAAAGGTGGCTGTGGTCCCCTCTGCGACCTTGAAGTTTGTAAGTTCCCAGGGACCAGACCAGGGTGAGTTAGGCAGGCAGGAGGGTGGGGCCGGTAGGCCTCGTGCCCAAAGGTCGAAGCGCTTACAGGGCATTGGGAAGGGCCTCCAAGGGAGGTCTCTGGGGCCAGGGCTTTACGGTGCCGTGTGCCCAACTCTAAAGCCTCATGAATGCTTCTGAGGGGCAGCTGGTGGATGAGGGGAGAGGTGAGCCTGGGCCACTCTGTCAGGCAGTGGCTCCTTGGTGCCTGGCTCAAGCTGGACCTCTGACACAGTTACCCCTGCCTTGGTGTCCTTAGGCAGATGAAGGACAGGGCTGCCTGGATGCCTGTCCCCTGCCTGGCCAGAAGGACCAGGGAGGACACGGCTACCTGGCCGGTTTCCCAGCAGCCGAGTGTTGAGCAGGGATGCCCACATCGCAAGGTGCCCAGGGGTCCGAAGGCAACAGTCAGCACCTACCTTCTGGTGGGGGATCACTGGCAGCGGGGACTGGATCGGGGGTGCTGCTGTGGAGATGGTAATGGGACGCTTGGACCTGGAAACCGGAATGGGGCACAATGAGGACAGCCTGCCCGGGGCAGAAGCACCCACCTGGGGAAGACTGGCAAGGGAAGGGCAAGAGAGCCAGACAGCCCGGTCAGGGGCGCACTGCTGGGTCTCCCCAGGAAGGCCCTGGGCTCTGGGCACTTTAGTCAGGACCTTGGGCCCCTGCAATGTCCTGGGGGTTGCCTGGGCAGACAGGAAGCAGGGAGACAAGTTTACCCTCACACTGGTGGCACCAAGGCCACCCTCCCTGGGCTGCATCTGTCGCATGAGGCAGGGTGCATTGACACTCCTTCCTACATGGTTCTGGGGTGCATGGCAGAGCCAGCACCTGCCCGGGTCCCCTCCCTGTGCCAGCCCCCGGCCCCCGTGCGCACTCTGCAGGGTAGCCACCTACTTCTGCAGGGTGAGGCTCAGGTTGTAGCTGGCAGACTTGATCTTGTTCTGGGCCTCCAGGTGGGTCATGGTATCTGTGCTGACACCATCAATGGCCACCACCAGGTCCCCCTGGCTGAGCTGGGACTGCGCTGCCTTGCTGCCGGGGGTGATCTGGTTGGACAAAGGAAGGGAGTAAGTGTAGATCTTAGCCCTGAGAATGTGCTGGTCCCCAGGGAAGTCTCCTGTGCCTCTGGTCACCTCCATCCCCCAGAGCAGCACTTTTCATTCCCAGGGCCAATTTCCTCGCTTTGGGCCCAGCTGTGGCCACAGGCCTGGCTCTGGCTGGTGGAAAGAGCGAGGAAGAAATGCCCACCACTCCCAGGTCAGCTCCTAGTGACTCCCTTGGGACCCTGTTCCCTGCTGGTTGGCTGCCTAACGCCAAGGACAGAGGGGATGGCCAACCCATTGGCTGCAAGGGCTTGGACCTGAGTTGCTGTCTGGAGGAGAGATGATTGAGGAGCACCACATGGCACAGTGCACAAATGATGGACTTCTACCGTGAGGAGCTGATGAGGTTTGGGGCTGTTTGTTACACGGCTTAGCCCACTGTGGTCCTGTACCCTGCAGATCCACAGAGAGCTTCATGGCCCAGGAAGGAAGGAGATGCAGGAGCTAAGACACAGCACCCCTCACACCAAAGATACTGCCAGGCCCGCAGGCAGGACAATGCAGCAAGCAAAGGCATCTGTGCCAGCTGCTTTGAGCTACAGTGGCAGCACCAGTGCTGCTTGAGGGAGCAAGTTGGCATGGAAATGGGGAGGGACCAGGCTCTCTGGCAGTTTCCTGTCTCCAGAAGAGAAAGCAGGAGTGTCAGATGTGACCACACGGAGGCCACTGAGATTCCATCTGGGAACACCCACAGGTATCAGGAAGGCCACCACCCTCATAACATTACTTGGGAGGCCACAGTGGTTCTGGTGGCATGGCCAGGACATGCTACACAATACTACACTCCCCACACCTGGCCCTCAGCAACAGCTCATCAAAGGCTGTAGCTCACTGTGGCTCAATGGACTGGATGTCCCTGAAGGGTTAACCTAAAAATATCTCATGGGACATCATGAAGACTCCAGCTCCACCTACACATGGGCCAACGTCAAGCATGGACCTGACTCTCAGTACCGTGCTGGAAGACCACTGACATCACATGGGGCCCATGCAGGTCACAGGAGAGGAGGCTCTGCAGGCCTCTATCCAGCTAGGGCCTGAGGGTGACCTTGGCTCTGGCTCCCCATCCACCCACAGCACTCCTCCTGGCTTCTCGGGAGCATCCCAGTCACCTTCCCAGCTGGGAACAAGGCCAGCTCCTCAAGCTGGCAGAAGCCAGATTCTGGCTACAGTCTGGGGACAATCCTAAAAGGTGCCCAGAGAGGACCTGGGGATCGTCCCATGTCCCATGTGCCGAGGCTGGCAGAGCCTCCAGCCAGGCCTGGACTTTTGGATGCGGATGGAAGCCTCCTGGCAGGCCCCTCGCAGGGAGACCCCACCGGACCAGTGCAGCCTGCAGTCCCTGAGCCCCAGCCTGCCCCAGGGACACTGCCCTGCATGACACGAACGGGGACCAGAGGGTGCTCCCTGGCCAGTCGCTGGTGGCCCACCTTTATGGTCCCAGGTGCCTCCTTAAATACTGATCAGCTTGTGTCCAGAGCACCCCTCTGCCAGCCCTGAATGGCAGCCAGGGCGATGGCGACATGCTCAGCCAGCCCTCTCCCCTCCATGGAGCCTCATGGGGAGCTCAGAGCGACCTGAGGTTCTCCCCATCTGTCCATCTCTCCAAATCCACTGCCACTGGGTGCTGCCCTCAAGCGCAGAGGCAGGACAGTGGCTAAACACCAGCAACAAAGACAAAGTGCTTCCTAGACAAGGCGACTCATGAGAGCAGCCTGGCTATCCACCCACGGGCCTCCCAGTGGGCTCTGCTGCCCCCGTCAACCTAGTACAGATGTCTGGGAGGCAGAAAAGGCTGAAACAACTCTCCATGAGGTACCCACCACCTTGCTTTATCACGTGTCAATCCATGGGTCCCGCTATCCACTCCTCAATCCATTCTTTCATTTTTTTTGTTTTTTTGAGACCGAGTCATTATGTAGTCCAGACTGGCCTTGAATTCACTATGTAGCTCAGGCTGGCCTCAAACTCCTGGTGATCCTCCTGCCTCAGCCTCCTGAGGGCTGGGATCACAGGAGTGCTGCCACCAAGCCCGGCTTCCCAATCTATTTGTGGAGCTATTTCAAAGCAAGTTGTGACAAGAGTGTCCTACATCTTCTGATGTCGCTACTGTCCTGCTGTCTGCCCCCTCAGCAGGACACCCTATTGCAGGACATCCCCAGGTACCCCTGAAGAAGAACCCCCAGGTACCCCTGACCATCTACCAGAGGAGGGGGAGACCTGTGTCCCCTGCAGCAGAAAGCCTAGCTGGGGCGGAAGCGGCGCAGGTCTCACATGGAAGGTGGCACCTGCAACCACAGCGGGGACCCACCTGGATGGCAATGACAGTATGAGAGCGGCACCTGAATGCAGTCCAAAGAATCCTGGGCGATCTGGTGGGCCAGCTCGGGCCTCGGGCGCGCCCCCTGGAGGCCGCTCAGGTCATTTTTCTCCGGCAGGCAGGGCTACTCACCAGATCCCAGCAGCCTGGGCACCAGTCTCCTTGTCCCTCACCAGGGCTCAGCCTCCACGGCCTGGGCAGCGGCCAGACACCCAGAGCGGAGCCGCTGAGCTCCCGCAGCCCGGCGCCTCTCTCCCTACACCTGTGCCCGCCTGTCAGGGAGCAGCTGGCCTGGCCTTTGGCTGCCCTGCGTCCCCGGGTGGGGGTCTCCTTTGCCAGGAGCCCTTGGAGAGCAGGAGGAGAGAGCGAGGGGCCTGGGGGCTGCCCAGGGCTACCCAACCTTCCTCACCGCAGAGCAGCCTGCCCTGGCTTGGCGGGCAGCACCCTTGTCATTCGCCACTGGGTCCCTGTGTCTCTTGTCGGACTCTCTCTCCACCCGCCAGACATTATCCCAGAAAAGATGCTATGCACCCAAATCCTTGCAGTTTTTTGTTGTTGTTTCTTTTAAAACAACAACAAAAAAAGTCTTTCTGTGAAGGATGGTAGTGCACACCTATATTCCCAGCACTCTGGGAGGCTGAGGCAGGAGGATCAAAAGTTCAAACCTGGCCTGGGCAACTTGTCAATTTATCAAGATCCTCAAAAAGTAAAAAAGGGCTGGGGTGCAAAGGCCTTGGGTTCAGTCCCCCAATGCTTTAAAAACAAACAAGCCATCTTTCTACACCCTTTGGAGCACAAAGATGCTCTTTGGAAAGTGTCTGATTCCCATCTCGTTTTCCAGTTTTCCCCTTCCAACCCTGGTCCTAGGCAGATGCTGGAGAGATCCCCAAGCTGGCCCCTGAGGCAGGCTCTGGGTGTTGAGATGCCGGGAGTCCCCCTGGGACCCCGCTGGGCCACAGCCCCAGGGCACCTCCAAGGGTGAGACAGGGCTGGTAGCAGGGCCACCTGGATGTGCCCAAGAGGTGACTTTGGACCAAGCCCACCCAGGCTGCTGTGGTAGAAGCCCAGGAAGCCTTCCCCAGGATTTTGTGTGTGAAACAGGGCTTGGGATGGGGCTGGGAACATTTTAGGAGGCTCTCAACCCAGGAAACTCAAATACCAGCCTGGCCCTGGAGATACCAGAGTGTGTGCCCCAGGCTCTGTGGGGAGAGGGTGGGAGCCAAGGGTGGGTCTGGCCCAAGCCAGCCTCCTGTCCCCACAGGTCCTGAGGGAACAAGGTGCCACCCGGGGCTGCAGCGCACCTGCAACACCTTCCAGCAGACAGGCAAGCTGGGTGTGGTGGCGCACACCTGTCATCCCAGCACTCGGGAAGCTGAGGCAGGAAGAGAACCATGAGCTTGAGCCCAGCCTGGGCTACCTAGTGAATCCAAGGCCAGCCTGGGCTACATAGTAAGGCTGCTTCAAACACCCAAAACAGACAGAGGAGGAAGCAGACAGGCCCCTATGTCCTCCCCTGCTGGGTCTGCGTTGGGTAGCAGGGCCCTTGTAGGGCAGGTAGCTTGCCCAAGGAGAGAGGCCTTTGTTACGCCCCCTCCCGGCCCTTGGGGTGAACGGCAAGTGATTAAATTACCATCAGGCCAAGCTGTTCCCTGCCCATCTGGCCTCCCCTGAGGCGGGGTGCCTTCTGTCCCCCCAGGTCCAGGAATAAGCCAGAGCCCATTCCCTGCTGCTCGACCATTCCAACTGGTGTCTGTGTCTTTCCTCTCCCTCCTTAACCTCCAGAGCCCCCCAGAAGTGTGGCTCACAGGTCCTGGAACCACTATAACCCACCCGCCACACATGCTAGTCACCCCTCTTCATCTAAAACCTGGGTCCCTGCTGTGACTATGCATGCCCTCTCTGCCTTTCCAGGCCTGGCCACTGTCCCTCTCCTGTCCTCCTCCCAGCTCAGCCACCATTCCATCGGCATGCCGGGTGTGAACCGTAAGACGCTCCCTGTGTGTCTGCTCCTGCTGCCGGGGGCCCCAGCAAAGCCCAACCATGCTTCCGAGGACATCCCTGAGGGTAGAGATGGCCCCCAGCTCCGCCGGGAGAGAGAAGCTGCCCTGCCCTTCTCCCCCAGGGCCTGCTGTCCACTCCACACACTGAGCAACAAGAACAGCCTAGCTGGACCCGGCAGTTGGCTGTGCCTTCCCTTCCTGCTGGTGGAGAGCTGGCAGTGGCTGGAGCCAAGCTTCTGGCCCTTCCGGCTATAAACAGCAGGCCTGTCAGCACCGCAGGGCATAGCACGGTGGCCACAAACTCCTGTGGCCTAGAAACTCCAGGAATTTCCAGCACAGCACCCAGAATAGTCCAGCCTGTCTCCCTTGCTCTCCTAGGGACCCTCTATTCTCAGCACTTTAGCAGACAGAGCCCTGTAAATACTGAAACCGAAACCAGCAGAAGGCCAGAGGCCTTGGGCTGTTGGCCTGAGCTAGGCTGCCAGGTGGGGTGGGTGAGGCCAGGGGTTGAGGCTCAGCCCACCAGCCTGGCCACTCATCTGCTGTCCCACACACGTGGAAGGCACTGTCCCATTCTACAGGTGAGGAAACAGGCCAGCTGAGGGCAGCAGTGCTGAGCACACATGCGTGCCCCTTCCTTGGAGTTTGGGGTGACCCAGACCCTGCCTGCAGGGTGGGGGCTGGGCCTTTGAGCAACTCCCTGCCCCCATCTGCTTCTGGAGCCCTGGCTGGTGGAGGAGAGAGGGCAGCTCAGGTTGCAGCCCGCACACCTGTCCAGGATAAATAAAGGCATTTCCCCTCCACCCTCCCTATCTCTGTTACAGGGCGGCCTGCAGGGGCTACCACCAGCCCAGCCTGCAGGGGACAGGTACAGGCAGCACAGTGGGCCATACCTGACGCTGCAATAAGTTGACTTTTTCCAGTCCCTTCTGGCCAGGGGAGTCAGACTCTCCGCTCTGTCCCCTTCATCACACAAGCCCCAGCTGGCCAGGCGAGGTGACATGGAAATGTGCCCAGGGCAGGGGCTCAGGCTGGGATGCTGAGTGCCATCGGATAGCCACTGTAAGGACCAGGTCCTGGCTGAGAGGGCAGTGGGTACCCCCAGGAGGTCTGGCCCTGCATCCCCTTGTGGGGTGTCCTGATGCAGAGGGCTTTGTAGTCCCAGGCAGGAAATGCCACCATGCAGATGGCCCCAGGGGCTGCCTGAGGCCATGTTATCCATGGCCTGTCAGTGGTATTTTCCAAGGGACTTCAGGTTATCCGGAGGACTCCAGCATCCAGGGCACCCCACTGCCTGGCCCAGGTGATTCAGGGCGTGTCCCAGAGGAAACCATGCCCATGCCCTGCCCAGGTTCTATTTTTGAAAATCATCCCGGTCTCTGGCTGTTGCACATCTCAGTACACCCCCTCCCCAGGCAAGGACATTCTTCTGCTGTCTCGCTTAAGGCCTCTGTGCTGCCATTTAAGCCCCTGGCCATCCAGGGCCAGGTGGCACATAGGTCCTGGGTGAGGTCATTGACTATCCTGGGTGCCACCAAGCCAGGATGGGGCCAAGCACCAGGAGTGGATCCCGAGGACAGTGGGGCTGGGGACAAAGCTCAGTTCCACGTGTGGCGCTGAGTACCCATCAGCCTGCATGGGAGGCCCCACCTCGTGCAGGGAGGAGGCCTGCTTGGGGACAGGGCTGTGCAGGGCTGGGGTGGGAGTGCATGCCACACTGAAATGCCCATATGTCATGCATCAAGGAGCAGATACAGGTTTGCATGTCCTTTCCTCAGGGAGCCTGTGGTGTCCAGGGCACCAGGTATGGAGGGAGGGGCAATGCCAGGTTCGAGGTAAAGGTGGAAGGAAAGGCAAGCACCCAGCTAGGGACTCTGTGGCCAGTCCCAGGCTGCCTAGACACCCAGATGTCTTCTATTCTCAGCTGCCCCAGTATCCATGACAATTTCCAAAGCCAAGACCACTCTCTGCTGGGGACACCGGCCCCCTGCGTGCTGCTCCTGGCCACACAAGTCTCTGCTGTTCTCGGGAAGAAACTTTCTCCACAAGTGGGCAGCAGCCTAGGCACCCGCCCACCCTCGGCATCCAGCAACAGCATGGGCCTCACCTGCTGTCTCTTGCCCCATCAGCACCGTCCAGGGCTCAGGGTGGTCTCTGCCCTCACACACCTCACTGTACCCAGGCCCTGAGGTCTTCTCTGACAGGTACTGAGGGCACACTTGCTGCCTTCTAGGCAGCACCCGGGTGCTGGGGCCGTAGCAGAGTTGAACCCCAGCCTCTCTTCTCCCTCTGTCTCAGGCAAGCTTCCAGCATCCATGTGTCTAGGGACAGCCACAGTCCTCTGAAGCCCTGAGGATCTGTGCCACTGGTCAGGCTCTTCCCACCAGACACCGCAGGATTCAAGGGGAAAAGACCTCAGCCAGATTGGGGAGCCAGGAGCTCAAGCTGACCCAGGCCTGTGAGCTGCCCAGCATGGGACCCTGGTGGGCTCAGGACACCAGGAAGTGGAGGGGCAGGCGTGGGAGCCCAGTCACCAGTCCAGCCCAGCCTCACCAGGACAGCAAGGCTGCCATCCATCTGTCCATCCACCCATCTATCCATCCTTCCTCCCATCTCCTGCCCTGTTGGTGCCAGAATGATACTTTTCCAAAGAACCTGCTCACGTTCAAGGAGGACGCTAACTTTTGGCAGCCTGAGCGCACCCTGCCAGGAACAGGCTTAGGAGGGCGCTGCCTGGTCTGTCCACCGGCCTGCCTGCTCTGCAAGCTCAGCGTTTCCTGCTCAGCCCAAAACACCTACCCCTGCGCCTGGGCCTCTCCCCAGTGAGCCAGCCCCAGGGCACTGGCCCAAGCAGGCAAATCCAGCAGTGGGCAAGACCAGGGTACCAGTGCAGTCCCAGCCCTCACAGGTGTGTATGCGTGCACGTGCGTGTGTATGTGTGTGTGCATGCACGTCTGCTCTCCAGGAGCCCCACAGAGGGACAAACACACACACATGCCCTCTTCTGAGCAGCCCAGCCCTCAGGGGTGCCAGGCTGTGGGCACAGTGCACTCACCCGAGAGATGGTGAGGGGCATGTTGAAGTCCTTGCCCCCCTGCAGCCGGAAGCCCCAGGGCCCGGGCCCGGTCAGGGTCACGCTGTAAGACATGCTGGCGCTAACAGCGGCCGCCTCTGGAGACACAGTCGGGAGAGTCAGGATGCGCACATACCCACCGCCCAGCCCGCTCTGGCCGCCGCCCGGCCCCCAACCCTGGCCTTGCCTGCTGCGTCTCTCCCTCCCTGCCGGACTGTACAGCTCTGCCGGCAGGCTCCTAAGAATAGCAGGAGCGAATGCCATCGACGCTGATATCTGCCCTTGCTGCGCCCATAAATGGACTGTAACCCTACACTGTGCCCGCCCGCCCGGCGGGCCACCGTGACTCACCCGGCTAATATAGCCCCTGGGGAGGGGTGTCCAGCACCCTGGGCAGGAAGGGAGGCCTGGCCAGGTAATGATAATGCTCTGGCCTCCCTCTGCCCTCTGCTCCAAGAGGCCGAGGGCTGAGCTCTCTTGGGCAGGGGTCTTGCTGCTCTGTGTGCCTGGGCCAGGACTTTGAGCTGAGTGTTGTCCTGTGTGGGATCCACACGGTGCCTCAGATTGAGCTCAGCCTCCAGGGGGTCTAGAAAAAGCTTTAGCTTAAGAGACTGCTACTCGACCCCTGGTTGCCCAGCCATAAAAATAATCATTCTGGGAGGCTGAGGCAGGAGGATCACAAGTTCAAGCCCAGCTTCGGCAATATAATGACAGCCTATCTCAAAATAAAAAATGATATGGGCCCAGCATGATGGCTCATTAATCCTAGTACTGAGGAAGCTGAGGCAGGAGGATTGCCAAGAGTTTGAGATCAGCCTGGGGTACATAGTGAGTTCAAGGTCAGCATGAACTACATAGTGAGACCTTGCCTCAACACACACATACACACACACACACACACACACACACACACACACACACATACACACACACACACACACAGAGGCTGGGAAATGGCTCACTGTTAGAGCACTAGTCTAGCATGCAGGAGGACTGGATTCAATCCCCAATGCTAAATAAATAAATTAAATTAATAAACAAATAAATAAATGCACTGAGGGTGTAATTCAGTATGAAGGTACTGGGGTCAAGCCCCAATATGGCCAAAAAAATCACATTACAGCAGGTCCTCTGGGCGTGGTCTAGCTGAGCATGGGACCCTTCACACTACAATCCCTGGGTCCAGAGAGGCTGCCACCTTGGCCAGTAGGAGCCAAGGCTCAGAGAGGTTAAACGGCTCCTTCAAGGTCACACAGGGAATGGATTCAAGCCACCCTAGCCACTCTGGCGCGTGGGTCATTCCAATGGGACTCCTGAAGGAGGATGGGGTCCCAGCAGCTGCAGGGCCTCCTGGAACGCTGGCTCAGGGTACAGAGCCTCCCTGTGCCCGGGCGCAGGGTCTGAAGGCAGGCCCAGGGTGCCCCCCCACCCTGACCCTCTGGGCCCCAGCCAGTTATTCCTGGCTCTCCTGTCTCATTTGTGTGCTGGAAAACTTGACAGTAGCATGGAAAGCTGCAGCTGCCAGCACTCCCGCCAGGCCCATGCCCTTTGCACAGGAATGGCGAAGCGGGGGCCAGGGCAGGGGAGGAGCCACCATCTTCTTGGCTGCCTGGGCACGGCGGAGGGGAAGCACGTGTGACACGTTCAGCCCACAGCCCCTCAGGACTCCTGCCAGTGTGGGCTCTGGGTCACAGCGCACCCCGAGAGACCATAGGCCCCGCAGGGGCTGGATTGAGGTCAAGGCACAGGCTGTCTCCTGGGCTGGGGACACCGAGGCGCAGGCCCTGGCCAGGACCCCAGCCTCACACAGAGCCTGGCACACACGACACGCATGTAGGGTGCCCGTGCTGCTGGGCTGCCTGGTCATTTGCCCATGGTCACAAAAATAGCAAGTGGAAGAAGCCAGACAGGACCTGTGTTCTTTCCCCGACGTCACGTCTCCGCCTCCTCTGCCCTGTGTCACACAGCCCCACCTGTCGTGGCCAGAAGGCCAGTACCCCATCCTTCTCCCATCTCTTGCTGTGTGACCCGCAAAGCCCCATGCCATCTCTCCCTAACTGTAGGGGTCTCCGCCCTGCCTGGCTAGGGAGCAGGGCGTGACTGCTGTGGACCGGAAGGAGCCAACCCTCAGGGGAGCTGACAAAGGCTGTGGCTGTTACTGGAGCCTGAGCAGCAGGCTGTCTTTGGCCTCTGGGGAAAGGCAGCAATGGCCTGCACGCTTAAAGGCGAAGGCCAGCCTCCCTCCATCTGCCTTCCCATAAGAAAGCCCAGGCCAGCTGGAGAGCAGCTGGTGCCCGTGGGTAGGCAGAGCTCGGAGCTCCCTGGGGAGCAGGGCTGGGCCACCTCTGGTCTTGCCCCCCACTACTCTGCATCCTCACAGTTGGCAGTGGGCCTTCAGCAGCATGAGCCCCAAGGCAGAACTGAGGAGAGGAGGACAGATGCATCGCAGGCACTGAGGCCAGCACAGCCCCAAGATTGACACCACGTTCGGCAGACAGCGTCTCTACTTTTTATTTCCTACCCCTGTCACAGCTCAGGGTGAACCTAAACCACTGACAGACAAACCATGGGGTTCAGTATGCGTGCAGATCAGTACCCACAGTGGTCAGTATGCATGCGAGTGTGGGCTCCTGGGGATGGCTCGAGTGGGGTCAGCGCACGAGGGGGCTGCGTCCAGTGAGAAGTGCAGCGCTGCCCACACCCAGGCCACTGAAATGCCCCTGGTGTGTTCTGGGGAGCCAGCATTTGCAGAAGTGTCAGCTGCTGGTGGCAGAGGGCTGCAGAGCTGGGACCAAGTGTGTGGGTCACGCAGACGGGTCTTCTGTGGTGTGAAGCGGGACACAGCATGGTGACAAAGTCTGCAGGCTGGTGGGACAGGAGATGTGGGGGGCCAGACGAGTCCCAGGCAGAAGGGTGGGCCAGCTGGTGTCCTACATCTGTGAGTCCAGGCTGGGGAGCCGTCCCTTGGTCTGAAGACAAACAGCACATGTCTGTTCACCCAGGAACGCACAACCCCTGGGACCCTTGGCGACTGGGTGACAGAGACACGAGGGGAGGCTGCATAGAAGGGCCAGGTTGCTGCGGGTTGGGGACCAAATCTCAAAGGAATCTGAGCCTGATGTCCCCGGGCTCCTGCACTCAGGGCCACGCCCGCCCTGCAGCCATCTCTTCTCTTGCTGCCCTGCACCTCACAGGCTCCAATGTCCTCTCTCAGCCTCACTGCCACGCCGAGCCTCTCCTGTGCCATAGCTTCCTCCAGCAGCTTCTCCGTGCAGGCTCACTTGGCCCAACAACTCCTGCCCAGACACCACGGAAGGGGCCAGCTGTGCCATAAGCTGTCCTGGCCCCAGGATGGGCACCATGACATTCACCATTGTGCCAGGGGGTCACAGCCTAGGATCACTACCAGGCTACCGCCCTGGCCCCCATGGCTGTGTGTAGAGTCCAGGCCCCAGGGTAGGGAGTGGTGCTGGGGCCAGGAATGCTGGAGGAGACAGGGGCTCCCCCTTCATGGACACCCGGCTAAGCAGCCTGTGGCAGGGAAGGTGGGATGCAGCTGTGGCCCCGCTGTCTGGGGAAGCCCCAGGGTGCCCGGTTGCCAGCCAGGCATATTGTGTGTGGGGTGAGCAGAGGGCGGGGGAGCTGTCAGCAGGGTGGGAGCCCAGGGCCTGGGCACATGGTGTCTCCAGCGTTCCAGAACTCGGCTTCTCTAATCGCCATCGACATTCCGTTCCATAGGCACTTGGGCCGACAGCTGGCCTTCTTTTAATAGCCACAAGTGTTCTGGTGACATCTTGCTCTCAGGGTGTCCGTGGCCCACAGCCCCTCCCCCAGAGATGTCCAGCCCTGGGGTCACACAGAGAGGGCCACAGCACAGACACATGGGTACACGCTTAGCACAGAGCAGACACCTGGGGCACAGTCTGTCATGTGTCCTGGGGCATCACATTGACAGAGGATGTATGCCAGACGTGGTCACACATATGCACACATTATGTTCTGTGGCTTCCAATCACAAACCTTCATGAACGTACATTTATATACATACACTGTGCCTCTGTCCTGGCACACATAGCCCCAGCACACCCAGCCACATGTGGACACATGCAAGAACAGTCCCAGCCAATCCCTGGCATGGGAGGGGCAAGCTGGGAGAGGCAGGGACCCAGTGAGTCCTGGAGGGCCTTGGCCTGCCTACCACTGCAAGGCCCTAATGGCTCTGTTCCCCCACTTTACAAATTGGCAGGTGCCTGGCCCAGTCACCTTTCTAGGAGTCTTGGCTTCCCATACCTGGGCCCTGGCTTCCCCGTCCGCTAGACCCAGATCACAAGGGGATCGTCCACTGGCTTGCTGGGCAGCCCCCAATGCCTCAGTGTCGGTCCAGCCCTGAGGGAAGCAGGAGAGCGTCTGTGAGGTGTGAGGCAGCCTGTGGCGCCCCCCATGCCTCTACCCCCCACTGAGGGCCCTTCTCTGGCCTCCCACAGGCGCTTAGGTGGGGAGGCTCAGGATACCTCGATCCAGGTTGTGGTCACCAAATCACAGCAACTGATGCCTCCTGGGGCTGGGCTGTGCGTGTGTGTGTATGTGTGCGTGTGTGGTGCGCGTGTGCACATGCATGTGGGTGTTTAGGTTTGGGGTGGAGGAGTGGTCTTCTGGAAGGTCTAGGTTCTATTAGCAGATGGGGAGATTGGGGTGTAGCTCAGTGCTTGCCTGACAGGTATGAGGCCCTGGGTTCCAGCCCCAGCACTACACACACACACAAAACAATCAATGTATATTAGCTGGGTATGATAGCACACACTCTAATCCCAGTACTTGGGAGGCAGAGGCAGGAGGATCTCCAAGTTTAAGGCCAACATGAGCTATATAGGGAGATTCTATCTCAAAAAACAAAACAAAACAAAGCAGATGAGGTTTTCTCCTCAATTTTCACTACACTTGTTCAGAGAAGGGACCCCGCCCACTCCCTCCACAGCCCCTCAGAGGGGGCCCCAGGATGGAGGCAGAGGAAGGATACCACTGTCTAGTCTGTACAGTGAAGCAGCAGGAGGGAGGAGCCCGAGTGTGGCTGGACAGGAACCAGGGTGCAGAGGCCGCTCCTGGAGATATTCGGGGGCCGCTGCTCTAGGCCATGGGATGCTGAGGGTTCCCAGGAGGTGACTAGGTCAGCTGAGCTGGACCCCTTCTCCCCTGCAGCCTGCTCTTCACGGCTCCTAGGGGCCGGGGTTTGGTGCTGAGGACACAGGGCCTGTGCTGGCTCTCACCTTGTCTCTGGCTGCCCATCGGGGCCAGAAACACTCATCCTTTTCATCTGTGCCTCTGAGGATCGTGTTGGCACAGAAAAGGGCAACCTAGAGCTGGAAGACGTAAGCTCAGATTGGACCCACCAGAAGCTGGAGGTGGACACAGGAAGCTAGAGGGGCCAAGGGCCTGGGGCAGGTAGAGGAAGGCGTGGCCAGGGGCCAACTGGCATGCACCCTGTGTCCTTACCGTCTCGCTCTCGGAGCCCAGCGACTCCTGACGCCTGCGTCCCGAGATCCAGCTGAGGTCAGAGGTCTGGCTGCTCAGCGGGGATCGGTGTGTGGAGCGATAGCTGAGGGAGGGGCGGCCGTGCTGGCCAGACACACCCCGCAGCACCCTCAGGCAAGGCAGGTGCTGTGTGATGGCCACCCTGCAGGTCCACATGTCTGATTGGGACCAAGGGACAGGGCTGGGGACAGACAGACACACGAACCCTGGGGGAAGTGGGTTGGTGGACTTGCAGGGTTGCTGAGATAGACATAAAGCCCAGTAAGGAATAGGAGAGAGCCTTGGGGCAGCAGGTCGGGGAGGTGAGAGGGGACCAGGGACACCCCTGAGCTCTCTAGGCTGGACCATCTGAGCCTTGCAGCTGGCTTTGGGAGGGTGGTGAGTGACAGACACCATCAGGCCAAAGCGGCCCCACAGGAGAGGTGCCTGCTGGGATTCTTATCAGCCAAAGCAGGCAGTGGCCACAGATGTCCTGGACCAGCCAGGGCCCTGGAGGCTAGGTTCTGTGTTCCTGCTAGGTCTCTCCAGGACACCACGGGCTGGGGGTTTGTCTTTGCAGGGCAGAATGGCTGATCAGAGACCCTGGCTGCCTTGTGACACACCTCAGGGACCCCAAAGTTAGGATGGGACTCTGTCAGGAGCCCCAATATCACTTCAAACAGAGCCATGCCCCCCACACGCCCCCACTGACCCAAGAGACTGGCAGATGCAAGCCCCACCCTCCACAGGCCCGTACCCAGGGTGGGGGGTCAGGGGCCTGGAGGGGGCTGCACCTGTACTTGGGGTGGGTGATGGCATAAATGATGGGGTTGTGGATGGCAGAGGCCTTGGCAATGACAGCTGGCACTGAGTTCATGTAGGGTGTCAAGACATGTGCATACCTAGACAGAAGAGGCACGGTCTGGAATTTGGGTCCTCTCCCTGGGACCCAAACTCTAGCCCAGCCCCACAGCCCCATAAGCCCCTAGTCTGTTGCGGGCCTAGAAATTCCAGGGAGAATTTCTGGGCTGAGGTGGGGGGAAGGAAGCTGGGGGTTGGAGGGTGGGGCTCTGGGGAGAAGATTGCAGGTTTAGGCAGAGTCTCCAGGTCCCACTGCCTCTCCTGGTGTCCCTCACTGACCTCAAACCTCGATGCAGTGCCTCCTAAGCACCCCTGCCCAATGGCACAGCTCCCTGGCTGCCTTAGAGACAGCTGGCCCACACTGGTCCTAGACAAGCAGGTTGGTGCCCACACACCGCCAAGGTTTTATGGCTCTGGTAAAGTGCTTCTGAAGTCTAGCCTTCATCCATGCTGCTGTAGCTGACAAAGTCCCCAGGTCTCACTGCAGAGGGCAGCTCTTAGGGACCCATTCCTAGGTGAGCAGTGCTCCCCTATGCGCCATGGCCCGGACAAGGAGGACACTGGAACCTCAGGGACAGCTGCATGTCCCCAAGGAGCCCGGATATGGGGTGGCCCAGAGCACGCCCAGAGCATGCCCTGGAGCCTCTATGAGTCAGCCCCAGCTCCAGCCCCGGCCCTAAGGCGCATGCTCACCCGGCAAAGGCCACCAGGGCTACCGTGGAGTAGGGCGCCCAGGAGAGGACAAACAGGAGGATGACCAGCAGCGCAATCTTGGCCATCTTCCACTCGTTGCGCAGCCGCTGCCACTGCCGCCGCCGCCTTGGGGACTCCCCACAGCTCTCAAAGGCCCTAGGACGGTGGGATCTCTCGGGTTGCAGTAAGGGCCTCAGGTGCTCTCCCTGGGAACACTCAGGAGGGGGCATCCTTCCCAGAACAGAGCCTTGCTGTCCCCTCACCACACCTCATAGGTGCCAGGTGCACAGCGCATCCTGCAGCCCAGAGCACCCAGCGGGCGGCAGCCCTCTCCCACCCTGGACACTCACCGGCCGGTCTCCTGGATGGCCCTGAAGATGAACACATAGCAGTAGATGATGATGAGCAGCGGCAGGAAGAACACGAAGCAGAACAGCAGCATGGTGTAGGCGCGCACAGAGGGCGTGAAGGTCACGTAGTCCCAGGAGCAGGACGTCAGCAGCCCCTCGGGCACATAGGCGCCTGGATGGGGAAAGGCTCTCAGCCTTCACGCTGGCCCTGCCCATGGCTCCTGGTCCAGCGGGAGCTCCATGTAGGGGTTCATGCGGGGGCTCCCAGATACAGGGCTGGCCCAGCCCCTGCCCAGCCTGGCCCGTGTAAGCTGGTCATGCCACGTACCCATCACCTCAGCCCGCCTGAGCAGCCCTGTATTGGGCCACAGGCTGCCCAGATAACCCAGCCCTACTGGAGCACCCTGTTTCTCCTGCTCCTAGCAATGTCCCCGTAAATGTGCATCTGACTTGAGGCTCGGGGGCCCCTGGTCCCCACCAGCTGGCCTGGCCCAAGTTCATCTACCCCCCGACCCAATGCCACCAGCCCACTTACTCCAGCCAAAGAAGGGTGGCAGACTCCAGGCTAGGGCATAGAGCCAGACACCCAGCAGGACAAATGCCGCCTGCCTCTTGGATGCCACTCCGATGGTGGCCAGTGGGCGTGTGATGACCAGGTAGCGGTCCAGAGTGATGGCCGTCAGGGTAATCATGGAAGTGATGCCAAAGAGAGCCCCGCAGAAGGCATAGAACTCGCAGCCTGTGGGCAGAGCCCTACCTGAGCCCTTGGAGGGGAGCCCGTCAGGGGCCCAAGGGCAAGGGAGGTCTGCATTGGCATGGAGGCACCTCCTTCCCTGACTCTCGGGAGAGCAGGCCCAGCCCTCTGCATTCCACCTGCTCCACATCTGAGTGAGGCTGCAGAAGTCCCAGGGCCAAACGCAGTCTGCCCTCCTCCCTCCCTCATGTGTGGAGGGTGGCAGCTGCCCATTCTGTGCCCAGGAAGAGCAATGGCCTCATCTGGGCTACCCAACACTGGGGACATCCCTGCCAACCCCTACCTCTTCCCTGCAGCAGGAGGCAGCCCCAGATACCCACCTGCCTCCCCAAAGAGCCACCGCTTATAGAGGCTGCTGGTGAAGAAGACAGGGGCCTGGGTGAAGGACATGAGGAAGTCGCTGACCGCGAGGTTGATGATGAACATGTTGGCTGGGGTCCGCAGGCCTCTGCTCCTGTGAAGGTCACAGAGCAGTCAAGGTGCTTCCTAACACCTTGGTACGCAGCACCCACACACTGCACACCCGCATGTGCATGTACCCATGTGTACACACCACACACCTGCACTGCACGTGCACATGCTCACACATACACGTGCATGTGGCCAGGAAAGGAGCTTCTGCCCCCCGTGCCTCTGTCCAGCAGGTACTTCCTGGGCAGTGGCTAGCCCCAGCAGTGGCAGCACTGGGGCACCCCAAGGTGATCCCCCAAAAACAAAACAGGGAGCAGTGTCTCTCCAAACGCCACCCCCTTCAGCACTCTCTTCTTGGACGGACCTCTCCAGCACAGCCTCCTCAGCACGTCCAATCCACCCTCGTCCCCTCCTTCTAGGCTCCTGCCTGGCCCAGCCCTTGCAGCACAGCTGTCTCTACGGCCTTCATTCTGCTGGTGACAAAGGGCAGAGGAGCTGACATCTGTGACCACAAGCAGCCACCTTTGCAAACCTTGTCTCTTGTCGCTGTTCCTCTCTGGGTCCCCCCAAGAGAGGCATTTACATTTTTCAGATGAGGACACCAAGGCCCTCGCTCATGAAGCAACTTGCTCTGGTCACAAAACCCAGGGAGTGGCACAGTCAGGCCAGGCACATACAGGACCTGAGAAATCGGCACCCACCTCATGGAGGAGAGCACAGTTCCATTTGCAGCTGAGCAGAATGAAATCAAGAGGACAGTAACTTGCTCAGTGCTGCCAGGTAGTGGTGGAGCGGGGACGTGGGAGGGTCCCTAGGTCTGGGCTCACAGCGCCACCTACCTGTCTCAGCCATTAGTGGCCGGCAGGGCTGAGTAGGACTGGGAGCCCACCAAGGGGCCTGAGGACTCACGACCCAGGCTCCCTTCAAAATGGAAGGAGGATGCTTATTAGGGCAGAGACCCGAGGGTCCCTGTGGTCCCTGGCTTCCGCAGAGCATGTGCCCAGGCCTGACAGGTGTGTGCCATCCAAGCTTCCCAGGGCTGCCCTTTGCCCAGCCCTGCACACGAGGGTGGAGCCTGGGCTTGGGACATGCAGGCTTGGCCCTGCCTCCCAGCCAACCCCAACAGCCCCATGTCCCCCCACCCTGTCTCTCAACCCTGGGCCCAGCCCTCCAGCCGGGCACCTGCAGAAGGTATAGATGACTGTCAGGTTGCCCAGCATGCCGGTGAGCCCCACCAGCAGGATCACGGTGCCCAGGGCATAGTGGGCATGCGCTGGAACATCGACCGTGGGGAAGGGGACCCAGGCTGCAACCTGAGCCCCAGCTGCCTGTGGAGAGAGAAATGGGTGGTTTATCACCCACTGCCACCTTCCAGCGTCCCTGAAAGGGAAAGCTTAGGGCTCCTAGGGGGCAGAGAGACTGAGGCATGAATGTAAAGCCACTTGCCCACCCAGCTGGCTGGTGACTGAGCAGAATAGACATTTGGTCTTCTGGAAGTCAAAGTATCTTTACAAGGTGTGATAAAAAATATGGTGAATGCCACTGGCATGTGCCATCTAACAAACAGATTTGTAAAAACCTGACAGTATGTCCTCATCCACCTTACTCCCTGGATCTGGCACTATACAACTTCTGGCTCTTCCTGAAAATCAAAATGACCATGAAAGGGAAAAGTTTTGAATTGATTCAGGATTTTGAGACAGCCATGACAGTGCAACTACAGACACTCAGGAAAAAGAACTTTCCAGACATGCTTCAGAAAGTGGTAAAAAAAAAAAAAAAAAAAAAGAAAGTGGCAAAACAACAACAAAATCAAAACAAAAAAAGAAAGAAAGAAAGGAAAAAGAGCTGGGCTTGGTGGAGCACATCTGTAATTCCAGCACTCAGGAGGCTGAGGCAGGAGGATCTCCAAGAGTTCGAGGCGAGGCTGAGCTACATAGTGAGACCCTGGGATTAACTGTAATTCCAGCACTCAGGAGGCTGAGGCAGGAGGATCTCCAAGAGTTCGAGGCGAGGCTGAGCTACATAGTGAGACCCTGGGATTAAACACCTCTCCCACCTGGCCCGGTGTTCAGGAAGGAGGTGGTCTGAGTTTGGTCCTGCCTAGCATTCCACTCTGACCTGGGCAAACCCAGAGCCCTAGCCATGCTTGCCAGGGGCATCAAGCCAAGGGCAAGCTACAGCCCCTTCATGGCAGAGCGGCCTCTGTTTCCTCAGTGTGTTCTGGGGATGGCCCAAGATCCCACCGTACAGCTCAGGCCTTTTCTGTCCCTGTCAGAGCGGCAGCAGGAAGTGGGAGGGAGGGCTCTATACCCGCACCCCCAGCCTTACCGTGGGGCTGCTCTGTGGAAGCTGACCCAGCGTGGAGAGGTTGCTTGGGGCACTGTCGCCCCTGCCAGGTGCCGATGGGGTGGCCACGAAGCTGGGCTCCTGGGCTGGACCAGGGGAAACTTGTACCCCAGAAGGCGGATTCATTCTGAAGCAGGTGGTCCTCACTCACGCACACGGTAATTCCAAGGGTGTTGGGGGCTCAGGACTTCAGCTTTCCAGTCCCCCAGCTCTCTCTCCTCCAGCCTGGGCACTGACTGCCAGCTCCTGCATCCCGCACGGACCCAGCTGCAGCCACGCTTGGGGCCAGCGTCTGCTCAGTGTGTGGCCAAGCGCGAAGAAATGCATGTCAGTCAGGGCCCACTCAGCCCTGTGCCTCCCACCTTTAAATAGTGGCGCTGAGGGCCGCACATGCGCAGTCGGTCCTTGAGGCTGGCTCCCCAGATGCGGGTCCCTGAGAGTCCACAGATGGCAACAGGACCCTGTGTGCATGCGAGTATGTGTGCGTGTGCGTGCGTGTGTGCGTGTGTGTGCTGCACAGGGATATGGCTGGGCCCATGTCCTGGACACCACACAGAGGGCTTTGTCCTGCTTCTAACAAAGTTTCCCAGCCTTCCCTGGGCTCATCAGGAGCAGCCTGTGCCACCAGAGAGCTCCCATACTGGGGAAGAGGATTGCTACGAATTCGAGGCCAGCCAGGACTACACAGGGTGCGGCAAACCCAGAGCAGCATCTCTAAGAGAGGCCCAAGGAATGGGTGCCCACACCTTGCCTTCAGAGCCCACAGCTCCCACGACAGCACCCTTTCTCCAGGGCTGACACCCACCAGCCCTAGAGAGTGATGGGGATCAGCGCCCTCCATTATCCACCCCCTGGGGATATCACTCACCCCACATCCACAAAGCATCTACCCCGCCTGGAGCCTGCGGTCCCAGTGAGACAGCACCAACATGCAGGCAGCCCCAGCCTCCAGCTGTCCTCCATGGCCATGACACTTAGGCTGTCCTGGCTACGAGCCACGTCCGACTCCAAAGAGGGGTGAAGGTGGATTAGGAATGTTTGCTTTCATTGCTGTGAGGTTGGCAACCAGCAAGAGGCCCCAGGAAGGAGGAGTCTTTCCTTTTGAGGATTGATGAATAGAAAAGTATCTTATGACTGAAGGATTAGCATCAGGTGTGTACCCTGACCTACCCGCCAGCCAGGGAACTCCCACCTACCAGGCCTCCCTTTTCTCCTTGAGCTGCTTTTTTACCCCCTGCACTGGGGATAGAACCCAGGGGTGATCTACATTGAGCTGCATTCCCAGCCCTTTTTATTTTTTGAGACAAGGTCGCCCTAAGTTGCCCAAGCTGGGCTCTGGAACTTGTGATCCTCCCGCCTCAGCCTCCCAGACTGCTGGGACTACAGGTGTGCACCACTGCACCAGGCCAACTGCTCCCCGCTCTAACCACGCTCAGTACAACCTTGGCTGGGGACGCTGAGCACCAAGTTCAGGCTCCAGGCCGTCTGGGGGCAGCTGCCAGCTGAGCGGGGAGGTGTCCAACCACACCAGCTGACAGTGCCTGAGTCCAAAGGACCTGCTCTCAGAGCCACGGGGGAGGGGAGGGGACAGACCACAGATCACCCGGCCTGGGTTCCCCCAACCTCCCTGTCCCCCATCAGTCTCAGCTGCAACACGCCTGGTCCAGGTCATCGAGGGCACTGTCCTAGACCCAGCTGCTCACATCTCCCCACTGATGGCAGTGTCACCTGGTGATGCCTATCCCCTCTGGTGGCAGATGGGTTTGTCTGCTCACCTGTGTGAATGCTGCCCGGCAGAATGAACATTGCATCAGGAAAATCAACACATCTACCAGATGCGGTGTTGCACGCCTGTGACCCCAGCACTCAGGAGGCTGAGGCAGGAGGATGGCTGAGAGTTTGAGACCAGCTTGGGCTACATGTGAGATACTATCTCAAGAAAAAAAATAAAGATAATCATCCCTCCCTGGTCCTTGCTTCTCCAAGTGTGGGCTAAGGAGCGGCCACTTCCACATCACCTGTAGCTTGCTGGAAATGCGGCCTCCCGACTCAGGTGCCTGATACCCACGTCAGGCTCTTCCCAGAGCTTCAGGGGATGGTGACAGCGGTGGAAGGGACACTGAGGCTACCAGAGATCAGTGACGGTAGGACCCCCTGCAACACCAGGGGCAGGAAGGATTATAGGAGGAAGGGGCTCCGAGGTCCCAGAGGCTGGGGCTGTGCTGCAGGGTGTGGCAGGGAGAGGGCACTGGTGAGCAGGGCGGACTCAAGCGCTTCCCCCCCACACACACGCACGCGCGCACGCGCGCACGCGCACACACACGCACACGCACACGTGGCGTCCTGACTCATGCAGGAGCCTGGAGAGGGGTGGAGTGGTGTGGCTCCCAGCAGCAGGGAGAGAGCCTGGCTCTGGAGCAATACATGATGGGACTGCCTCCCATCCAGGCTGCCTGGCGCAGCTGCCAGCTCTCACCCTTTGACCACCCTGCCCCGGCCCTGAGCTACTCTGGCAGGGGTGGCCCAAGCCCTGGGGCGGCGGTGCCGGCTCCCCGCCTGCCAGCCTGTGTGGTGCCCCTGGACCAGCCCACGCCAGCCCCCGCGCAGCCCAGCCTTGGCCTCATGAGTGATCGCACTTGTCCCGGTCTCCACCCGCAGCCGCCACACCGGGGGGCAGGCTGTGTGCTTGGCGGTGCCCAGCCGCCAGGCCGCAGCTCAGTGCTCTTCACACTTTGGAGGTGCAGCTGGAGGTGGCAAAAGCTTTCCAGGCCCCTCACCCTCGGGGCACAGGCAGCCTGGGCATCACTTGAGCCATGTAGTGCTAGACCAGGCAGGGTTAAGGACAGCCCTGCAGTGGCCCCAGTTTGGGGAAGTGAAGCGAAGCAGCCGCTGTGACACTGCCAATAGGGCCCCCCCAATGTTGCTGTCACTGATAGGCCTTCTGGGCCCTGGAATTCCTATAGGAAAGGTCTGAAAGCCCTCAAAAAAAGAAAAAAAAAGGCAAGCAGGTAGTTGGGTATGGTGGCACACACCTGTGACCCCAGAACTCGGGAGGCTGAGACAGGAAGATCACTTCAAGTTTGAGGCCAGCCTGGACTGCATAGTGAGTCTGAAGACCAGTCTGAATTACATAGCAAAACCCTGTCTCAAAATTTAGTAATTCAGGAGGGCAGGAGGCTCCTGGCCCCGCCAAACTGATTTCTGGCCATGCTGCTTAGCATCCATGAGCCGCCTAGCCCAGCCAGGGGCACTGTGTGCCAGTCTCATGCCACCCTGTCCTCTAGTGCTATCGCCTTCCTTGTCCTGGGGCTGCAGAGCTCTCAGCTCCCCAGAGGCCCCTGGGAAACTCCCAGGAGCTGTGGCCAGGGGCATTAAATATGCTAAGGGACACCCAGCCAGCAAGCACCTGCGGCCTCGCTTACCTGGGCTCGGGCAACACAGCGGATGGGGCTTCCCTGCCCGTGGTGGAAATGAAGAGCCTGTGGCTGCCTCTGCCCATGTCTGCTGCGCTCTGCGCTGGCCCAAGCTGCCCGCTCCAGCCCCAGCTGGGCTCAGCTGAGCGCCCCAGAGCATCCGGGTCCTTTTGGGCTCTGTGCCCCTCTCCCCTTATTCCCCGCTGGGTCCTCTCCTGGGAGCCTGCGTCAGCCACAGGGAGCAGGCAGGGGAAAACCGCGGCTCCCGGAGGGGTGCAGAGTGTCACAGAGTCTGTTTGCTGTCCCCTCCCGAGGGCGTCCACATTCCTGGCCTGGGTACTGTTCCCGGGTGCTCAAGTCTGCGCCCAGTGCTGGCCCTGCCCAGTCTGCCTGTTAAGTTAGGAATCCGGTCTAGGGGGCTGCAGGGTCCTCCCCGGTGAGCGCCAGGCATTCACTGAATTCCTGCAGCCCGGTGCCACACCCCAGGCTGGCGTCAGACACAGGGGCGGCCGCCTCCACGAGCTGGTTTGATGGATGATGAGCAGGGCGACACGGCCACACCCTAATGAGCAGCCTTTCTGTGCCTTAGTGGGAGGCTTCCGAGGAGGGCATCAGGTGAGGGAGAAGTGAAGAAAGGAATCAGGAAACAGGGAGTCACGGGGAAGCACGGATAAGGCCCAAAGAACAGACTTTTCATTGGAAAACTGAGCGCACACCCCAGAGCAGCGTGTGGTGTGGAAAACCCAGGCACACCTAGCCGCCGCCCACCCATACTATGGTTTGCTACCAGAGTGCCGTCCATTCCTTGGGGTCAACATGTCCTTGCTTGCGCGGAGCACTCTGGGTTTGTATCTAGATGTTCTCCAAAGCCGCATATGCTGAAGGGGACTTAGCGAAGTGACTGAATTACAGGGGCTGAGACTGTAGCCCGCTTGCGGTTTGTTTGTTTTTGGTACCGGAAATAGAACTCAGGACCTTGAGCTTGCCAGGCAGGCGCTAGTGCCGCTGAGCTATATCCCCCTCCTGCTATTAAGAGGCCAGGTTTGGTTGGAAGAAGCTGGTCGCCGGGGGCGAGGCCTGGCTGCTGGGGGCGTGGCCTGGAAGGGTTTATCTCCCCTTGAAGTTCCTCCCTGCTCTCTCGCTTCCTGCTGGCCACGCCCTCCGCCATGCTGTTCTACCTTGGAGCCAGCCAGCTATGGGTGGGAAACTGGGCCGGAATAAACCACTCCTCCTTAAACTGTGAGTGTCGGGTACTGGCTCTCAGCGATGAGGACCGTGAGTAAGACACCGGGGTTGTCTAATTTCAGGGTTTCCCCCTGGAACAATAGAAGACTCAGTTTTCCTCACCAGTATGTTCTAGCTGATCATAAGCAAGTGCGCAAGCTGTTCCCTCCAAAGTGGGGCATTCATCTGAGGAAGAGAGGAAGGGAAGAAGTCACTCATGTTGATCAGTGATGGCCCAGAGCAATTTCTGCCAGCTCGGAGCGCATAGATATCGAAGACACATGGAACATGATGGAAATCTGCAGCGAGCCCTGGGTGCTCCCAGCGAAGTGCGGCTCCCCAAACTCCAGACCTGGAGCCTGTGTCCGCTCTGTGGCCAGCAGGCAGGCCCTCGCTGACGACAGCTTGGCATGACCAGCACCAAGGAGTTCTGAATAAACACTGCATACGCGGACTTTGTCTTTCCATGTGAGGGTACACAGGTCAGCTGTGCTGGCAGAATCGCAAAGCTGCCACAGTGTCAGTTCCCTGTTGCCTTAGGTTGGCCTTGGCTGGCTTTCGGATTTACCCACTGTGTCTGGAAAGTCACAAGAAACTGCGTAGCTCTGAGACTCCAGTCCTTTGCTCACAGAATGATGTTTTGGTCAACATGGGATTGCACAGAAGATGGTGGTCCCAGCTGGGTGTGGTGTCATATGCCTGTAATCCCAAAACTCAGGAGGCTGAGGCAGGAGGATCACAATGAGATCAAGACGAACCTGAAGCACATAGACCCTGTCTTGAGAAACCAAAAAAAAAGAAAAGAAAATCTACAGAGCCCCTTCTGATAGGTAGCCACTAAACAAGTGAGTAATTCCCACACTCTGCTTATCTGTAAGAAGTCCTGGACCAAGTGGCCATGTAGTAACCCACTTGGAACCCTTCCTGGAAACCTAGGAGTTAGTTTTCTTCTCCTGACTTCCAATAAACATGCTCCTAATGTTAACAGCCACTGGGGTACCCAGGGATCCTTTCCAGGCTTTTGTCCTGTGGAAAGAATTGGACAAGTGAAAAACGGATGTTTTACATCTATTAAAGATATTGCCGGGCATGGTGGCACACACCTGTAATCCTAGCACTTGGGAGGCTGAGGCAGGGGTATCATTGCAAGTTTGAGACCAGCCTGGGCTACTAAGTGAGTTTAAAACCAGCCTGAACTGCATAGCGAAACCTGTCTCAAAAAAGACAAAATAAGTAAATAAATAAACAAAGATATTAACCAGGTGTGGTGTCACACACCTGTAATCCCAGCACTCAGGAGGCTGAAACTGTGAGTTCGAGGCCAGCCTGGGCTCCATAGTGAGTTCAAGTCCAGCCTGAACCACATAGTGAGACCCAGCCTCAATGCCCCATCCAAAAGATATTAATGGTAGAAAAAGAAGGGAAAAGAAGGGGCTGGGGATTTAGCTCAGCAGCACTGCACCTGCCTGGCAAGCTCAAGGTCATGAGTTCAATTCCCAGTGCAGGAAAAAAAAAAAGGGAAAAGAAGTACAGCATAGGGTGGGCTGGTGAAAAGGCTCACAGTAGCCATGAGCTCAACAGCCACCGTCTTTTATACTGCCGTTCTGATGTCAGATGGGGGCCATCCCATCAAAACCCAGCTCGATCTCTCCCCAAAAGAACTGAGGGCATCATTCTCCAATCGGAGTCAGGTGCAGGGCTCAGAAGCTGTCCTGCACACGTCCTGCGTCTCTGTGGTTAACAGGTCTCTGTGATCTACAGGTCATGCCCAGTTGCCCAGCTGCTTTGCCATGCCCCAATCTCCTGGCTCACTAACTTCCTCCTCTGCCCACAACTTCATTCTTTGACTTTGGGAGACAATGAGCTTGGTTTGTACAGGATTAACTGTGTTAATGGCACCTGGAGTCCACTCTCAGAGGCTCCCAGGCACTGAGACTTCAGAAACTGCTATGAACACCAAGTTCTGCACAGCTGCACCAGCGCAGGATGCCACACACCTGCACCCACAGGTGAGCCTCACCCTGCCCTCTCGGGCTCAGTCCTGGGAGCAAACTTTCCCCCTCCAACCTGCAGCTGCTCAGGGCTAAGAGAGATTCAGGCCCTGCCAGGCCTGTCTGAGCCCCTGAAGAGGGGGAACCTGGTGGTGATGGTATTACAGGACAGGGCCCCAGGGGGTCCCTAAACCCACCCTACCTGTGGAATTCAATTCTGCTGAATCTTGGAAAAAGAACTTACAGGATGTATTAGTAAGAGGCGTGAAGAGATTTATTAGGCAGAAATTTAAGGTATGAACTCACAGAAATAGAATGTGGGCAGAGAGAGATTATGATCAAGAGCTGGGTATATTTATGGAATTAGGGGTGTGTTTAAGATGGGTGATCTAAAGTCCAGGGATGGTGGCCCACACCTGTAATTCCAGCACTTGGGAGGCTGAGGCAGGTGGATCGTTGCAAGTTTGAGACCAGCCTGGGCTACAAAGTGAGCTTAAGGCCAGCCTGAGCTGCATATAGAGACCCTGTCTCAAAAAGACAAAAAAGAAAAAAAAGATGGGTGATCTAGGGCCGGGGATGTAGCTCAGTGGCATAGTGCCTGCTGGCAAGTGTGAGGTCATGAGTGCAATTCCTAGTACCAAAAAAAAAAAAAAAAATGGATGATCTAGGATGTATGTTTCTGTTGTCTGTCAGGGCACCCATCTGGTGGCTGTGTCAGAATGCAAACTCTAACCCTAATTCTAAATATAATCTCCCAACCCTAACCCTAACCGTAACCCTAACCCCTAAACCCAACCTGTGCTTGAAGCTGAGATCCACTGCCTGCTCCTGCTGCCACTTCAAGGGCAGAGTCTGTGGCAGGAAGTGGCGTTGACGGGTGAGGCTCATTGTGTCTTTCAGAACCTTAGGAATTTTTTTTAATTTCTCGGAAGGAGTTAAGACTTAAGAACTTTCGCGTTCTGAGGCAGCAGTTTCTCTTCAAAGTACAGTTCTGAAAATCAGGTCTTCATTTCCTTTCCACACATCCTTATTTCTTTGTCCTATCTGGATGGGGCACCCTGGCATTTGGGGCTCAGGACAGAGGGACAGGAGGGGACCCAGGGACAAGGCTGTGATGGGTGGCAGACGCCCCAGCAGAGGGGGCAGGGTTCTCAGCCTGGGATGGGCAGGGACAGTCGAGGTGACCAGGAACTTAGATGAGACGAGAGCGACGTCCCCACTTCCATCTAGCTGGGACTGAGCTACTCTCTCCAGAAGTCCATGGAGGCCCTGTGGCTAGGTGACAGGCAGGGGTCACTGCTCCTTCCAGCAGTAGACTTGTCGCAGGTAACTCAGGATTGGTTTTGCTCGTCGCTCTGCAAAAGTGGTCTTGCTTCTCCTTTTTTTTTTTTTTTTAAA